TATTTACAACACATTCTTACAACAGCAAAACAGGTTGCATGAAAATATAAAAATACATGTTGACTTTAATTAAGTAATTAATTAATATAATTAAAGAAAAACAAACATGGGCAGGTTACAAATGAAATTCGTTACAGAGTATTTTGGTCTTTAAAGCTTTTGCATTAGTACAGYGTTTTAAAGTGGATATATAAGACAAAGAGCACAGAGCAGTGCTTCTTTCTGCACGCCTTTTTGCTGAAAATGATCTTTTCTCTGAAGCTGGTTGGTAAAATTGTAAGATGGACAGTTTTTGCGAGGAGCTGGTGTGCTCTCCTTTCCAGCTCCACCATTAAGAAATAAATTTAAAAAGGTTTTCCTCCATGAACTTTTCGCCCAACATACATCAAGTGAAAACAGCTGTTTATATGCTTAGCTGTGCTCTGTGCTACACTGGGAGTGCTGTAGGAGGGCAGAGGAAGAACTGATTTATCCCCTGCCTTCAGCCTGCCTATAGTCAGTCAGAAAAACATGTCTGAATTGAAGGAATACCCAATCCTCTGTCTCACGTTGTTTTGAAGTATAAAGCAAGCTTTAGAAACAGTCYTTRCAGTAATTCACTTACTGCAGTACTGATGTAAAGGTATTCAAAAACCTCTCTAGTCTTCAGCTCGTCAAAAATGCTGAAACTGTACAAAAATTTAATTTGAATCTGAGCTTTTTTTGTTGTGAACTGAAACTGAAAACAGGATGTWGTTAGTGGCAGCTGAGAGTTATCAAAACACAAGACTAATACAATACTTAATATACAGAACATCCCATACGTTTAATTTAAACAATGATCAAATTAAAGACAAATGTTTTTATTGTGTCTTCCACAAAAGTAATGAAAGTAATCCCAACCGACCAGCAGATCACTGTSAAAAGAACAAACAAAACAACAGAACCTTGTGTGCTTTGTTACAAAAACATATAAAACTCTTAAACGTGTCATCCTCCTTGCTACAATGTACTGTTATCATACCTAATAAACAAAACTTCAAACCTGTGATGTTTACTTTAGAATGTTTTGCATCACTCTTAGAATTTCTTTTTCAAATAAACTGTTTTATGAATGACGCAGCCTGCAACTAAACTTAGACGTGAACACTCAAAGGTTGCTGTGAAGCTAAATATAGGCAGAAACTAAACCAATGAATGCACTCACTTTTAACGTCTAAATTACTCTATTCTGTGAAATACAACAACTCAGTGCAGTCTTGCTGCATGTTTTTCCACTTCTAAGTTAACTTATGTTGTTGCCTGCTTTTTCTACAACTTTGCGCTTCTTCTCCTCCATCGATGCTTTGAAGATGCTGGCTCTGTAAAACTGCAGTTCTTTAATGCTCTCCTGGATGTCCTCCAAGGCTCTGAAAAAACAAAAAAAAGTTTTTTTAACAAATGCTTTTACCAAATATCCATTTTAACCTATTTAGGAGGTTTTTATGTATTTATATACAAAAGGTGCACATAAGTGGTGCACAGTTGCTCATGCACAATTAAAAACAAGTGAACCTGATGCAGTGGAGGGCAGCACTAAACCAAAAATTAGCTCCGCAATTTCTAAAGCGCTTATGAAAATATTTAGGTCTGCAACTTCAAAAGTGCTTATGTCATGGAAAACTAGCAGAAGCTAATTTTAAAGCTCAAGTTCAATTTGACCCTTACTATCTGGTAATTATTTCATGTACAATWTATGTACAACACTGCCAACTAGCGGTGTATGAACTGTTTTACAGTTTAATCCTACAACCACAGATTGCTGGGGATGTGATTTCCTGAAACAGAACTTGGCTCCAGGTGTAAAAATCAAAAAGTTGTTGAGGATTGCT